TGATATCAGTGGTTAATATGTTTGGCCATTTTTAGTGTATATTTATAATAATGCAGCAAATCTACAGTGTTTTATTAACCAAAACTGTTTTTCGCGTTTTTCTCGAGTTGAAGTTTTGATCGAGAACGACTCATTGGGACCGCCGCCAAATCAAGTGCGTTCGGACTAGGACATTCAAACTCGCAGTTATCGTTCAAAAGATAATGATGGTGCGAAATATGTCTGGGTTTTTAAAGAAAATGCTTTGTCACAGAATAATAGTCTGTTAAAGGTGCCAAGTATGAAATAATTTGGGGACAAAAAAACAAACCTGCATAGAAATCGGAATAATAGGTCTTTTGATTATCGGAGACGCATTTCAATGGAATTGATTACGGACAATGCATAACTTAAATTTCACCAGGAAATTCCGCAGTGTGCTCTCGCAATCGCGTACTTAGTCATTTTTACAAGGTTCGCCATTTTTGATGTCACATGATAATTATGTAAACAATGTCTGTCCAGTTTGTGCGAACTTGCACCTCTATACTCAGTCTTTTGATATATATAACCTAAATTACTGTTCTGAACGAGACAACAGATAGAGAATGTTTTATTTAAAAACGTCACAAAACCTTCTCGCTACCTTAACGTAACTCCATTTAATTTGAATAGTGACCACTGTTCCACATCAACACTCATTAATCTACCAGCGCACAAAGTGTCTCAGAACACTAATGATATGTTGGACATGGCACCAAGCAGATATAAATGGAATGACAAAACAAAAAATATTTACAAGATATACTGTCAAACTAATGAAGGAATGAAAACTATCCAAACATTTATCAACAAAATACATACCAATAATAACAACACATCTAATGCGATTGCTGAAGATTTTAACCAGATGCTGGATACCATAGCTAGGAAATGCCTAATAAACAAATCATCAATGAAAGCTGGTAACAAACAGATGAAGAAGAGAACCTTTACATCAGCTCAATGCACTGTGATGAAAAAAGACCTAAACACACTGGCATGAAAACTACAGAATAATCCCTATGACAATAACCTACGATAACTTTATTACACAAGAAAGAAAATCTTCAGAAAATATGTCAAGAAAACTCAGAAGGAACAAAGGAAACAACAACTTGAAAAGAAATTAAGTGCTCTTTCTGAAAGTATGAAAACTGTCTTGAATCAAAATATCAACAAGGATATCACAGAAAAAGAAGTACAAATGGCTGTTAAGAGGTTAAAAAACAACAAGGCCTGTGGACCAGATGGCATACCAAGTGAAATGTTGAAGTACAGCAGCGTAAGCATGATAAAGGCTCTACAAAAAATGTTCAATCAAATCCTGAAAAATGGGCAATACCCAGACAACTGGAGCATTAGTATTCTTACACCAATACATAAACAGGGTAATTATCTCAACACTAACAACTACCGAGGTGTATCAGTGAACAGCAACATTGGAAAACTATTCAATGCAGTACTCAACAGAAGACTGATCAAATATTTAGAATATTATACACCCAAATCAAGGTGGTTTCCGAAGCAAACACCGTACAACAGATCATATCATCACACTACATACCATGATTAAAAAATATCAAGAAGAAGGAAAAAAACTTTACTGCTGCTTTATAGATTTAAAGAAATGTTTTGATACTGTTTGGAACAAAGGATTGATGTACCAACTGAAAAGCAACAATATAAATGGCAACTTATACAAGTTAATTGAAAGTATGTACAACAATAAGAAATACAAACTAAAGTTGGGTGACAGAATAACAACACCATTCCATATACACAATGGAATGAAACAAGGCTGTCCACTAAGCCCAACACTGTTCAATATTTACATCAATGACCTCATCGCTGAGCTAAACAAACAACCATTAAATCAACCATCATTGAACAAGAAGTCAATCCCATGCCTGTTATATGCAGATGATATTGTACTTATGTCTGAGAGTGCACCAGGACTACAACAATTGATGGATACTACACACAACTACCTGAATAAATGGGGATTACAAATCAACATTAAGAAGACCAAATCAATTATATTTGCCAAAAATGGACACCACACAGAAGGGATGCATATCAAAGTTGGGAATGAGGAACTAGAAAAAACAACACATTATACATATCTTGGAGTGACTTTTTAGTCCCCGTTCGGACGCAGTCCGAAAACGGGGACTTATGTTTTGCCCTGTGTGCGTCCGTGCGTTCGTGCGTCCGTGATCACCT